TATATATATATATATATATATATATATATATATAACCACTGGTATTCGAGGATACCCGTCTACTAGGCTAGACGCTTATGCAGACGCTTGCTCAGCCGCATTTGTGCTTATTCAACACGCACAGAGCCCACCTACAACCTAAAATCTATGTATAAAAGGCTATGGCTTTCAACACACTTATACTATGCTGAGCAGACCTTAGTTACAGTTACTGGGAAAGAGTATGATATCTAGCGTGATCAACAATTTGAACATAGTCAGAACGCTCAAGTCCTCATCGTGCTAGGACAACTATCAGCGCCCCCAAATGTGTGTATATATATATATATATATATATATATATATATATATATATATATATATATATATATATAAAAAAAAACATATATAACGGTCTAAAAAATTAATAGATTTTTAATCTAATTAGTGCAACTGGCAGTCGCGGGGTTTGGGTATTTTTATGCTTGGCTCAATTTTACGCCCTTGGGTTCCCCACATTAAGCCTGCCATTGTTTCGCATACCGTCTCAGTTGGGAGACATAGGTAAATATCAAGACAGACATAGAAAAATCTCTTTAGTAATATAAGCACCTTTATCTACTGTGACATATGTCCTTAAGGATAAAGGCGTTAGTTAGATCCAGTGACAGGACCCAAAGAGTGTGAGTTCAATATACGGTTAAGGCAGTGGAGAACTTTCAGAAGGAAAATTAACAGGAGATAACTGACAACTGACATCCATTAAACATGGCACATGGAACGTTGTAATAAATATGGCGACAAAGATGAGGACAATAGTCCGAATAATGTAAATAATGTACATAATCCCTCATCTCAGAAATATACCCGTCTGGAAGCTGTTGACACTTTCGCATAACTTGGAAGTATCATATCAAAAAGTAGTACTCGACATGATAGAGGATTTTGCACATTTAGAATACTATGTTTACAGCCTGTGTAAAATCCCTGTTTTACACGTCCTAAACAAGGACAACATACACGAGGCATATAAAATGGCTTGAAATGTTCCACCAAAATTGACTGAGACACATCTTTAACATCGATGGGCATTCTTTGATTCCAGACACTTTTGTCATCTAAAGATTTGAACGCAACAGCATTGAAATATTAACAAACCTCAAGCAATAATGCTCAACTGTGATGGGCATGAGATATTTTGTAAATGTAGGACAATAGGATTCGCTGACAACTTTTCTATGAAGAACTAAAGCTTCCAAAACAAGCATCGGAAGAGGTTTAAATGTTAATTTGAAAGTTATATCTAAATGAATTACACATGGATTAGGCATCATTCGGAAAAAAAAAACTGAGTTTAAGTAGTACAATGGGGAGCATTTTAAATCGTATAGTGGGGAGCACTTGAAACCGTACAGTGGGGAGCACTTTATAAAGAAAGATGCAAAGCATTTAAAGATGAATGCTTCAGGTATCTGATGACTAATAAGCAGTACTGCGCTCATATTTGGCCAAGAGGAGCCCCTCGACATTGTGTAATGGTTAGCAAGCTTGTCTCGCTAGAAGTGTTACGACTGAATAGTGAGTTCCATCCTCACTGGTTGTCCCACACATTTGGACTTGTGCCACAAGTAAGCTGCCCTTACAAAATTACCATATTATAACAAGAGATGCCGAGACCTCACTTTCCAGTCTCGATAGATTTCTAAATCGTTTCACTGTCCTTGGTGTGACAAGGTATCTTCCAGCCTGCGATGTCTCACTTACAGACAAGATGTCGTAGGGATCTCACTACTCTATCACTACTTCATTGGAAAGTTCTCAGACGAAATACATTCAATAGTTCCACCAGTTCTAACTTTCACGGTTAGGATCCTCCATGCCATGCACTTTATAGCAAACCACTCATTCCATCCGTATTCGAGCGGCTTCTTTCCACGAGTTACTGTTTTGAGGAACCGACGCCCGAGAGGAAGTTTTACGAATCCCTGCAATATTAACCAGTTAAATTCTAATGTTAAACCTTATTTTCCCCACCTATATACACTTCCTAAAAAACAAACCAGTAATGTACTATAATTGTAATTATTCACAGAACCTGTTACGAACTAGACGACAAATATATCTCAATGATGATGACATTAGATATTCCAGAAGCCATGGACAAGATGTGGCATAGAGGGTTACAATAGAAGGTCTCTTGATATGGAAGAGTGTTCTCAATTATCAAGTCTTCCGAATGGGCAGGTTCTTGAAGCTAGTTGTCATCTAACTGCCCTCCGAAGCTCAAACGTTCAAAGTAGAAGTCCTCCAAAGAACTCTTCACCGTTCAACCTTCTTTACGCTTTACATAAATGATCTGCGTAAAATATTCTTCGTTGGGTGGAGGACGACAACTCAACGCCACCGACTCAGCGACATGCAAACTCTCAAATTTTCCGTCGACTTTTTAAAAACAAATACAAATGTGATTTATGAAGAATCATTTTTTAATACATGAGTTTATTTTTAATTTAAAAAAAAAATATTAAAAATTGTTTGCAAATTCCCGCAAATATTTAATTGGGCATGGCCAGTTGGCGGTTTGGAGTCAGCGGTGATGCAATATACTCTCGGTACTTTGATCATTTGTGAATATCTTTGCTCATGATATAATATTATATGAGTTTACCTCCCAAACACTAGATTACTAGAATCTAGCATGTGCTTCTATTTTGATCTCGTTTTAACAGGGGAAAACTAGCTGCTCTCATTCAGTCCCTAGAAAACCATCCTAAGACAGCAGACAGAGAATTCTCAAATAACGCGAGGAACAGGCACTCTCATAAGATAGTACCCTCTCTTTAGTGCCTATTCTACATTTGAAAGAGAATGATCAGGCCTAAAATAGAGTATAGTTGTCATATATGTGCAGGGGATGCATTACATTTACCGACCTGAAATTAATAGTGTTTAGTTTTTTAAAAAAAGACAGAGCATTTAAATAAATAAGTTTATTCATAAAAAAACCTACGAATAGAAAATATATTAAAATAATTGTTGGATTTTAATCTATTTCATAAAATATGTTGTCATTGTTTACGTTAGGCTACAATTTTAGAGCAGATATGATAGATCGAGAAAAATCGGCGAAGGTGTGTGTTTCGAAGCTGTAAGCACGTCAGTCTTAATGACGATTCCGTATAGGATATTGCTTCGATTCCTGTCGGGGGACGAATATTTTCTACGAAATTTCTCAAATATTCAGGCCGGTAAATATAATTAATTCTGTTTAATTAAAAACAGGGTATTTACTTATCTATCTATCTATCTATCTATCTATCTCTATCTATCTCATATATATATATATATATATATATATATATATATATATATATATATATATATAAACCACGTATAATATATTTGCAGCCAAATTTGATCTTTCCAAGTTTTCCTAGTGTGCATGGACTTCTAACTTTAAGTATTTGCATGAAAAGGATACATTAACTCTATATCTGACAGTAAAAATTATTTCTCGTGAACTCGACTTATACACAAATATATAATTATATTTGCACGATGCATCAGTATGGACGCCTATATTTGTTCTCTCAACAAGGCAACTGGCTATTTTGCTCGTGTTTTAACCAAACACAATACCCGATAAAATTGGCTTCAGTAAAACTGGTCAGAATTACTGAAGTATGAAAATAAACCAACATCGTTATTATCACCCAAGGGCTAAAAAATAAATAAAATAAACTCTATCACATGCTTTTTCTTAATGACAAAATAGATACATTGTCTCGTGTACTTGATTCCCCACAAACTTGCTATCAAAATTTAAATTTACTTCACAGTCAATAAAAGCGGATAATCTTAAGAATTCAAACAATGTTTCTTGCTTTCATCCCTGAGGGATCAATTTCTTTTAAAAATATCTTTTAAATTCAAAAAGAATTGAAAAATATTTCGGTTTATTCTTATTTTCTTTTTTTTTTTAACACACAGGCACATACTTACATACACACGCACGAACGCACGCACGCACACACACACACACACACACACACACACACACACACATATATATATATATATATATATATATATATATATATATATATATATATATATATGTTTTCTCATTGATCTCGAGTGTTAAATGAAATAATTTGTTCCAGGTCAATACAGAATCAAGAGCGATAATGATTTATTTTTTTAACAAAATCTATTTAGCGCATAAATACCCCTTTTAAAATAAGTTTTTTTTTCTTTTATATGCTTGGCGTTTTTCTGTTATAATTTTCTCAAACATCTTTCTATAAAAGCAGTCGCTTTTTCTATTTTTAAATTTGACGTCAATTGGCTCAAAATGACGATTTCGTTTTAACGTCAGACAAATTTACATGCGACGCCAGATAACACGACATTCTTTACACACGTCAGTTTTCGTTTATAAAATTTTATTTTCATTTATTTTTTTTTTTTTTTTTAATGTAAATTCAGCATCGACCATTTTTTTTTTTTTTAGTTGTTTGCAATTTATCCCCGGGGGTCTTTTTCTATAATCACTCTTCTACGACGGATATCCGAGACTATCCGAGTAAAAAGGATCTGAGAAAATATAAATAAATGAAAAAAAATCACTTCTTTTTGATGAATAACAATTTAAATTTGAAATTAAAATTTAAAAGCTAATACGATAATTAGTGTGGCGACTATTATTGCTATCAATGATGTCTTCAATCAGTTATTTTAAAATGATTGAAAAATTAAAGAACTGTGAAAAAATCTCATCATAGACAATAACATCGCTACTACTACCACCACCACCACCACCACCACCAAATATGGTGATAATCGCAACCACTATTTTAAAACTAACATTAAAAAGATGGCGGATGGTGTGTTGTGGTGGGTGGGGGGTAAGAAATTGAGGAAAGATCCTGGAATGCTGTAAAATGGAATGCATCTGAGACTACTGGAAATTTCCTTTACTATTAAGTGCAAGAGAAATATACAAAAATAGAAAAAATGACGGAGAAAAAAGAGAACAAGGAAAAGAAGAGGAAGATACATTAAGAAAAGAAAAGAGAGAACGACAAAAAAGAGAGATCTAATGAAAACATATACAGAAAAAAAGATATATATTTAAATAAAAACTTAAATTAATGTAAGTCTACAGGTAAGAGAAAGGAGAAATTATCGACACAAGGACAGACATGGCAGGAAATGAAGTCACTAAAGATGAAAGCAAATAAAAATGAGTTAAAGAAAGAAAAAGAGAAAGAAAGATCAGCAAAATGAGACGAATTAAATATAGGACAGAATCAATAAATCCCATTTGTTTTGCATAATGAATTAGGATTCATGAAATGTCCTCAAATGCTTCATTTCTTGCTGTCATAATGTTAACGATTAAAACACATCCGTACAAACATCGTGCATTTCGTTGTACACCGATTAAACAACAGTTCGTTGTTAAAGGAAACAGTAAGATCTATTTAAACCAGCTGCGATTTTTAATCTCGTAGGAGATTCCTTATTGGATCTGTTTTTATTAACCATTATTGAGCCATGAGAACGAGGAAAATGGAGAGACTAACATAAAACGTAGTATTATCTGCATAGGAATTTACTTATGATCAAATAAAGTTCTTATGCAGATCATTAATAATTTGCAAAAAAGAGAAGGACTTATGAAATAACCTTAGGAGATATTAACATTTATTTTATGGGATTCAGAAAATAGGCCACCATTCGAAAGGATAATCTTGATAATCCAGAAAACTCTTCGAAAAACACTACAGCTAAAGTGTTTCTGTAGCATCTTCCTACGCCACGCGTTGTTAAAGCCTTTGGATTATCGAAAGTGATCACACTCGATGGACCAATCGCCTCCTTGCTTCGATGCGTAATGGCAGTAAAGACATCAGGAAAAGGGCCTAGGGGAACGGAATCCATACTGTTTGATACTCAGAAAGTTGTTTCTGTTGATGATAAGCTCAAAAACAGATGTCGTGATATTGCGATAGAAATAACCGCACGTCCGCTTTCTTGCGATCTTGACATGCTGAACATTTCCATAGATGTGACGGACATTTTTTAACCGTTAAACAATTTTGCCAAGATTTGGGTATGGCTATGGGCTAAGGTTCTTAAAAATACCTACAGAAATTTTATCCGGACCAGTACCTCAAGTAGTCAAGTATTTTTATAAGTATAGAACCTGCGGAGTCATTTTGTTTAAAATTTACTCTGTACTAGCTGTACAATGCGCCACTACATTTTTACCAGGTCTCACTTTCACCAACTGTGGGAAGTTAAGAAAACAGAAAATGATGAGTTACATTTGCTTCTATTGATGGAGATGTTACTAGTGCTTACTGTGAGTTTCGCCCACAGTACGTACGCAAACCAAGGTGGCCATTTATCACTTGTTTTTTTTTTATTTTTGTCGGGGATAAAACATTACATACGATACTGAAACCTTTCGGCTGTGCTAGACATAAATTTTTTTCGCCTATTGTTTTTGGGGTCAAACTAATTTTTAATCTTACTAATATTAAGACCCCTTCCCGACCACCTAGTAAAAAAATTTACTCACCCTAAGGTATTCTATTGATAATTATAATTTTGGATATAAATGAGATTTAGTAACTCACTTATTTCCTGCAACTAGTAATCAATAGAAACATAACCGAACAGCTTTAAATAAAGAATAATAGAGGTATAATTTATTTATAATAGGTAATATAGTTCAAAATATTTAATAATCTATGGGTCCTCCTTTATTTTGAATAACCTTTTCAACCCTTTTTGGCATTGACTTAATGAGGTTCTGGCAAATCTCATCTCCAACCATTGAATTCCATTCGGGTATGAAATTCACGATCAAATCCTCTTTGTTGCTCAACTGCTTTCTCGAGAGCCTGTACTTTATAATGCTCCATAAGATCTATATGGAGTTGAGGTCAGGAGATTGGGGTGGCCATATCATAACACTCACCTGCTTCACATCAAAGTATTACTTCATCAATTTTGATTTGTGACAGGGAGCATTATCCTGTATAAAAATGAGCATGGTGGTGTCAATTTGCACCCTTTCAGCAGAAGGGAGCAGACAAGATTCTAAAATTATCTTGTACTGCTCGCTCCTGAGGGTCTTTTCAATAGGTTTTAAGAAATCAGTTCCATGAAAAGAAAAGCATCCCCAGAACATTAAACTGAACGGATGCTTGACAGTACTTACTGCTAAATTCAAAGAGCTTTCAAAGCTTCTTCTTCGGATTTTAGATCGCTTATCCTTTGAATTTAGCTCAACTTTCGTTTCATCGGAGAAGAGAACATTCTTCTATTTTTCTTATTTTTCATCGGAGAAGAGAACATTCATCTATTTTTCTTATTTTTCATCGGAGAAGAGAACATTCTTCTAGTACGGTGAATCTCATTTATATCCAAATTTATAATTATCAATAGAATACCTTAGGAAGAAAAAATTTTTCCTAGGTGGTCAGGAAAGTTGACTTTATATTAGTAAGATTAAATTTATTTTAACCCCAATAACAATAGATAAAAATGTTTAGTAAAAAAAAATCAGGTGAGTCACTTTTATCGAGCAGCACTGTATAATCTGAGGCTGTTCCAGTTAGTTTGGATGCATCGTAGATTTCAAGGACTATTCTCTGTGTAGTTACGCAACTGGTTTTTAACTCCGGCGTTCTCACGTTTCATTGAATCAATTTCAACTCACTCAAGGTGACGTCATATAAACGGTCTAACGGAAATTTCTATGTCTCTGTGTAGTTTTTTTTAAAGACACTTGGTCACGTAAAAAAACAGTATAGCATGATGAAAAAAGGCCCCAAACTCAATAACAACAAAGTTTTATCATCAAAATGTTTATGTTATTCACAGGAAAGAGCAAAGTATTTTTTTAGTTTATGAAAGTTTTTACTTCTTTCTAGTACGTTCGAAATTTTCCTTAAAAATCTTGTTATTTTTTTTTCCGACAGCAGCGAACTAGAGAAAAAAAGTTTAGTTTTATTTTGCGTTTTTTCCGGGGAAAAAAACAAAACATTGATTTCGAAATTCTTGCAAAATTCAAATAATGGCCAGTTTTTAATGAAAAGTTCAGGACATGAAAAAATGAATGAAATTATTTTTGAAGTCCTGTTTTTTAGAAAATCTTGGTAAAAACATTATTTTGAAAGATGTTACTATTCACTTAAATAATTTCATGAAATTTCGAAAAATTAAACTTTTAAGGGATGGGATTTTTTATTAGTTAAAAACAGGACTCTTTGAAGAAAGTATATCATCATTTTTGTTAGTTCATCGAAAATCCGTTCTGAATTGTAAAATCAGAAAATTGCAATTAAACTCTGATATTATTTAATTAGAAAATCTTTGAATTGCTTTTGTAAATAAGTAATATTAAGGATACTATTGTCTGAAGAAATAAAGAAAGTTTCGATGAATAATGAAATTTTACAAGAAATTTATCATTTTTTTTTTAAATTTTAATTATAATAATATAATAATTCAAAAATCGTTTAACTTTTTTCATTGCTTTCAATAATGCAATTTGCTGATATTGTGAAGTGAAAAGTAAATTTACGTATCAAATTTTGAAAAGATCATAACAGACGTTTCTACCCGAATAATTTTAAAATAATATTAAAAATAATTTTTACTGAAAAATTTCCTAATTTCTACTTATTGGAATCTATACATGACATAATCCTTATAAAGGTCACGCGATATAAGTGTTGTATGACGCACTGCAATTATTTCACTTTGAATTCAGTTTTTTTTCCTCATTGACGTCATTGCAAATCATCCCTTCCAAATATCTAAAAAATGTTTTACATTTCTTAATTACTATTTCAGTAAATATTTTTATTTTATGCATTTATTTTAGTTTGGGTCATACTTCAATTATTTAATGTTTTGTTTAAACTAGTAAACTTAAGAACCTCGAGACGAAATGCAAATTTAATAAAGTTTCTTAAAAATCTAAGTAAAAGTCAATAAAATATTAAATAATTGGTGAAAATAAAAAAATGCGTTCACTTCCTTCCCGTAAATATATCATTTCTGGTCATCCATAGATAGCTGTAATCACCTTAAGAACTTTTCGATAAATCAATAAAGTTCAAAGAAAGAGGAACCCATCTTTAAGCAATGCTTGTTTATTGATTTTCAAGCTAGATAAGTAATATTTATTTCGAATCAGATTAATTAAACTTTACATTTTCTAATTTTACTCAAATAACGTATCACATATCTATAATTTCATTTTGAAAGTATTTTAAACCCGATAAATTTGTTTCTTTACAAATATCTTAAAATTTAAGTAAATCGCCGCTTTTAAGAAAATATTGAAAAACCGAGCAATTGTTTCATATTCCAACCTATATAATTTCTCTCTGAAATATAGCAGAATATTTTACTTACTGGAAATAATGAATTTAATAGTTTAGCTGTCAATTAAAGCTAAAATGAAATCTTCAAGAATAATTTTCAGTTTTAAAATTTGATTTTAAATCTTAGGAATCGAAAATTCAGAGGAGGTACCTACACTTCAATAAATGTTCCTCTATGCAGAGAGGCACTTTATTCAATGATGGCTTTTTCTCTTTTATCACAAGAGCTTTTAAAGTTGAAGCCTCTTTGCAATATGCACTCTATAAAACTTTGGCGTCACCTACTAAAATTTGTATACTGATAATATAATTTTGTTTATTTTTCATATTTTCATCTATATGCACAAGAATTGCACTAAATTTTGAAAATGACAGGTTAACCTACTTGAGAGCTTGGTGCACGTTTGGTCAATGGGACGTCAGAAGAATCTTTGGATTTGGCATGACTGTTGACATTGACCGTGCTTTGTCAGGGTGAGAGGTGAGAAAGAGATCTTGGAGGTCAGCTTGATACTCAGATATATCGGTAAATCACGAAGACATATCCCCGATCTTTGTCAGCGCGTATTCAATGCTGAAACCAGAGCAGTATTTCCATACTATTTTTGAGCGTAAAATCAACTCCTTATTATGTATATATAGAAAATCGGCACGAATATGAAAAGTAGCTGAGTTGTGATCAGATAGGATAACATTAATCAGCTCAGCTATTTTGTCAAGTATTACAATGGAAGCATACTGTGGACAACAGACACTGAAGAAAAACTTCATACAATGAATAATGTTCCGTGAAATCCTACGAATGGGAATAGGTTTTGGAGGTCTCTGTTGCATGGTAATTCATCGTTCATATAGGCTCCAAATCCATGACCATGTCGAATGAGAAGTGATGTGTAACACATGATTGTAAATACTC